GTTGTAAATGATCTCCTGGTGGGCTAATGCAATTAGCATTGTCTCCTGTCTGTGTACCCAGCATTTTAGCCCTACATCTATCAGCGTAATGGTGGTGGGCAGAAACTCTGATGTTGTCTAATAAGGGCATTTTACTCCCTTTAAGAGTGGGGGGCAGGTAATGTACAACCTTGGAGCTGAAGTCCTGCGCTGTGCTATAAACCACAGCGATATGTCAAAGAGAGGGAAAGTCCAACTGAAAAGAGGTTTTAATCATTTCATTTATCAGTTCGTTCTTGCTTTTCACTCCCCCTCTCCTCTAGTTTATCTCAGTTGGAGGAGGATTCAGAGAGCGAGGGAAATCGATGCAGAGAACATTACAGTAAAATGTATTGATCAGACACAGAGAGAGCCTTGCGTGCCGCCCGGAGATGGCCTAGTGATGCAATGCTTAAAGGAATTTATCCACTGCCTTCTGCATTAACCTTTTATTGACTGCTTTGCCTGTCCATAATTAACACTCACTTTAGCTAAAGTGGTTAGTTTCAGCTGGGAGGCCAGGTGTACGTGTGTGCGTTGCATTGTTCGCGGACCAAGTCGAAGTTCAAGTGCGCCGAATGTGTCGGGTGGGAGTATGTGAGCTGCCCCCCAGAAGAACTGAGGTGATAGATCTCCTTCCCTCCACATTAGCTCACAATTCCAGCAGGCCTGGCTGTTGGGTTATAGGGTTTCAGAGAAAATTGAAATGAGTGATTGTAACGTCGATCTCTCCTGAGCGCGGGTCAGATGGGAGAGGTAGACTGCATCTCGCAGAGGTTAATCTGTATGGATGGTTGGCATACACTTCCAAATATACTTCCAACAGTCCACACACACACTTTGTGTCTTTACTCTTAACCACGGAATCATGGAATATGGATTCACATGGTGAAGGGTTGCATATGTTTATGTTAATTTCTTTAACCTAAATGATTCAGTTATGCACATTTATGATTCGGAGGTGATTCAATGTAAAGAGATAGTTCACCCAAAAATGAAAATTCTGTCATCATTACTCACCCTCAAGTTGTTCCAAAGAATGTTGGTAACCAGACAGTTGACGGTAACCATTGACTTCAGTAGTGTTTTTTTCCATACTATGGAAGTCAGTGGCTACCAACAACTATTTAGTTACCAACATTCTTTCAAGAATATTTTCTTTTGTGCTCAACAAAATAAAGAAACAACTTGAGTGTGAGTAAATGATGACAGAATTTTCATTTTTAGGTAAACTATCCCTGTAATATCTGACTGAATTTATGTTTATTCTAACCACAAATAATGCTGTATGATATTAAAAGAAAAATCCTGTCATCATTTATTCACCATCTTCATCTTGTCTTTGGAAACCCTTATGACTTATGTTTTCCATGGAACACAAAAGGAAGTGAATGGTGACCACGGCTGTCAAGTAAGATATTTCGTGAGTAATAGAAGAGTTAAAAGTTTTGTCTCTTCTTAATGCAATACTGTCATATGTTATAATGTTATGATTTTCTGCTGCCGCATTGTCCTCTTTGGAGTTAAACAGTTCCTGGTCCCCATTTACATTCATTGTATGGAAAAGAGATCACTCTTATATGCAGATTTGCTGCTCAAGAAATTTCTTATCACAGCTATAAAACAGTTGTTTCTTGAACAGGAAGCTTTGATATATGGAAAGCTCAAAAGAACAGCATTTATTTAAATTAGAATTTTTTGTAACATTATGAAATGTCTTTACTGACACTTTTGATCAATGTAATGTGTCCTTGCTAAAAAAAAATACTGACCCCAAACTTTTAAGCAGTAGTTTATATTATATATATATATATATATATATATATATATATATCTTTATAGTGAAATTGTATCTTAAGGTCAATTAATGTTGTTTATTGTTAGTTAGCAGCTTGGACATTCTGTTAAATATCTCTTTTTGTGTTCCACCTGTCGTTTACAGGTTTGGCGCAACATAAGAGTGTGTAAATGATGCCAAAATGTTTACTTTTGTGCAAACAATCCCTCTAAGTGTGTATGTTTATGTGGATCTTTATGGCTAGCATTCATTTGTGTGCTTGCGGTCTCTTTCACCACAGTCCATTTACTTCAGTTCCCTATTCTCTGTCTCTTCCAATAATTTAGTAAATGATGAGAGAGTTTAAACACACACGCGCGTGCGTATAGAACGAGCTCTCATATTATTTATGAACTGATGTGCTACATTAGGGTACTTAGCGCATGTTAACGGATGTTATTGTCAAGCCCTGATGCAGTATGAGGATGATATATTGAAGCGCTATATGCTAATTCCACCCTCGGCATGTAATGCAGCCTCTCATGTGGCCGGTGCAGTTGGAGAGACAGCACTTAACAGGAGAGCCACTCCACCATTAAGTGGCCCTTACAAAATATATAACCACAAATAGTGTCAGAGAGGGGATGTCCTCTGACCACCAGACAGCACAGACTCATCTATAACACAGGCCTCCTCAGGGCACCGCTGCAGTCTTCAAGTGGAGGACGATGAGTGTTTACTGTAGGCTGTGATTGCTTGAGACAAGTGTTTGTGGGAGAGCTTTGTATGTTTGTGAGGAGAGTGGTTGTCCCTGTATTAAAGGTGAAATGTGTCAGTTCTTCACCACTAATGGCACTGAACTAAATTGGAAAAATAATTATTTTTACATTTTTTAAGCAAATTTGAGTGATGCAAACCTCTACACCGTAATGAGTGTTGTGGATGGTTGTCAGGGTGTTGCTATGCAGTTGCTAGGCTGTTCTGGATTGTTGCTAGGTTGTTGCTTACTAGCCTCAAGTCCAAAGAATCCACGCCCCAAGTCTCAAAGTATTTTTCAGACTTTTTGAAATAAAAATAAATACTCGTGGTTGTCAGGGTGTTGCTATGCAGTTGCTAGGCTGTTCTGGATTGTTGCTAGGTTGTTGCTTACTAGCTCAAGTCCAAAGAATCCACGCCCCAAGTCTCAAAGTATTTTTCAGACTTTTTGAAATAAAAATAAATACTCATATGCTAGGCAAAGCTACGTGTATTTGATCAAACATGCAGTTAAAAAAGCACTGATATTGTGAAAGCTGAATTTTCAGCAGCCATTACTTCAGTCTTCAGTGTCACAATGTCCTTCAGAAATCATTCTAATATGCTAATTTGGTGCTCAAAAAACATTTCTAATTTATTATCAAAACAGTTTTGCTGCTTAATGTTTTTTGCGGAAACAGTGCTACATCTTTTTCAGGATTCTTGAATTAATAGTGTAAAATAACAGCATGTATTTTAAATTTAGGTCTTTTAGAACACTAAAAATGCCTTTGTCACTTTTGATTTTATCAAATTTAATGTATCCTTGCTGAATAAAATTATTAATTTCTTTAAGAAATACTGACCCCAAACGTTTGAACTAGTATATTGGTATATGTTGAAATCCCCTTTGCCCTAACTATTTATGCCTATTCACTACCATAAACTAACTGCTGATGATATAAAACATTCCCTTTACTGAGCCAGTTATACATACCCTTGGATTTCTGTTGATGTGAAGTTAAAAGTTCACGCTCCTGTTTTATATTATTTTTGATTCATAATGATAGCAAGCTGTGTGCCCCCCCCCCCCACACACACACACACACACAAACAGAGATGCTGCACATTCTCACTAACACACCCAGCATTGTCATATTTACGAGAAGCTATATTGTCATATTCTTGTAAAAACCACACTGTCTGTATATTCATACTCAGTCTACACCTCAAATTTGCACATAATATACAATACCTGTACATACAAAAACTGTCTATTGTAATGTAACTGCACATACAACTGTCAATTTCTATATTTTTATTCCTTATTTACTTGTTCTGTTTTTTATTATCTGTGTTTTTTGTTCTGTCACTGTCATTCTGTTACACTGTGGAAGCTTCTGTCACGAAAACAAATTCCTCGTATGTGTAAACATACCTGGCAATAAAGCTCATTCTGATTCTGATTCAAAGTTACTGTGGAATTAAAGCCACAGGCTTCACCTGCCCAGGTGTACATGATTGAGATATTAATCAGCACTGGCCAGGTGTGTTTAGAAAGTGATTTACACTGCTTACTCTTGTAGGATTGCAGAAGTGCATTCCTGAGGCTTCGTTCAAAGGAAGAGCAAGGGGATGATGCCATACCACACACACTTGAACACACACTCACTTGAAAGCACACACACACACACACTAAAGCTGTGCAGTCCTTCGTTTCGTTATAAACATGTCATTAGGGCAGGTTATTGTGTGTCGTAAAGAAATCAGGAAACGAGTGTGTGAACTGCCCCTAGACAAACACACACTTCTTTGTGTGTTTATGGCGAAATGAACTATTCACACACTCCCTGGAAAGCACATGCAGTAACCTGGGGCTGTTTTCGCATCAGTTTTACACTGCAAATAAATTTTCAGTGTAAATATACTACCGTTCAAAAATGTTGGTAGTCAGTCATTTTATTATAATTTTTTTTTTAATGTTTATGAAAGATATGTGAAATAACTGTTTTCTATTTGAATATATTTAATATAATGTATTCCTGTGATGGCAAAGCTGATTTTTCAACAGTCATTACTCCATTCTTCAGTGTCACATGATCCTTCAGAAATCATTCTAATATGCTGATTTGCTGCTCAAAAAGCATTTCTTATTATTATCAATGTTGCAAACTGTTGTGCTGCTTACTATCTTTGTGGGAACCGTGATCAAAAGAGCAGCATTATTTAGTTTTCTTTTTGTAACATTGTTAATGTCTTTACTTCCGATTTTATGTGTCCTTGCTAAATACAGATATTAATTTCTTAAAAAGAAAAATACATCTTATTGACCCCAAACTTTTGAATGAGAATCTGAACATATTCTAAATAATTATTTATTCATTCACTCATTTAAAATCTTTGTATTGTGTCTGTCAGATTTAAACTTTGTGCCTTTATAAAGCTGTTGATTCCTTTTGTGTCCCAATAGATGCCAGTCAAGCCTGGCACAGGCCTTGGCTGCTGAGGAAGCACCTGCCGACCAACCCTATTGGAGTAATGAAGATCCTGACATGCCCCTCCCCTTTGACCTCTCTGAAATCATCAGCCGCGTTGAGTCACTTCTCTGGAGGTGAACAAAGTCCTTTTAAGACAAGTCATGTCACTCGGCGGCCATCTTTGAAACGCCTCTCGGGCATGCAAGTGCAACTCCTATATCTTTGAATGGGGAAACATCAAATTCTCCAAAACTGTTCACTAAGCATACGATTAAATTTCATATTTGAAATCACCAAAGAAATCTGACAACAACTGTGACATAAATGTTGTTACTTTTGCTCAAATAGCGTTTTAAAAAGCTTATATTTTCAGGCTAGATCAGCCAGTGCGCATGCGCAGTCATAAGCGAGCATCTCAGAGCTCTGACTGTTTCTATAGCAACCGGGACTTCTAAAGGCAGCTGCAGTGACGCACTGACTTTACCGATTAGCGATTGGCTCTTTCATTCAGAAGGCGGGGCTTCCTGCGATTGAGCAGCCATATTGAGCGTTGCATTTTTCCCCATTCAAAACTATACGAGTGACACGTCTTGGGTATTCTGTAGTCTTTGAGGTGAACTACAATTACTGTGTTTTTGTGAATGTCTTATGTTAGGGATTGTTATTAAAATCATTGAAAGTGGACTTAAGGAATGTTCAGCCATAAATGCACAAAATGTGACTTACTTCTGTTTTTTCTTTCTTCCTAGGATGTAAGGTATTAGCAAAGGAGGGAGATAAGTGGAGAGAAAGAATGTTATGAGGTGGATGTTAAGAGATAGAGGCCGGGATGGAGATCACAGGTGACAAAAAACAATACAACACACACCTGTTTAGTTTCTCCTTTCTGGCCCATCTTTGCCTGAAGACCAACATTCACCATTACACACACCACACTGAGACCCACTGGGATGAATGGACGGATATAAGGATGGATACAGGGGTGGATACGGGATGCCATCTGGACTGGGCATTTTATTTCCTATTTCCATCAGTATCATTTACTATCACTTTAACAGAGTCCGTAGTGTAACAATGCCCATGCATAGACACATATCAGTAGTTGCATATGATACCTATCCATAAATATATATATATATATATATATATATATATAT